GGCGGGACACCCAGCGGCGGCTCCTGGGGCCGAGCGGCCCCGCGGGCGGGGGGGGGCGGGGCGGGGGCGCCTCCGGAGAGGAGGCGCCGCTGCAGCCGCGGGGAGCCGGGAGCGGCGCGGGCGGGGAGCGGCGCGTTGGGCGGAGGCGCCTGTGGCCGAGGCGGGCCGCGGGCGCTAATTGGCCTCCGGGCGCCGCGGCCCCGAGCTCGTTAGCGCGCCCCGGGCTCGTTAGCGGCCGCGGGCGGCGGCTCGTTAGCGGCTCGTTAGCGGCTCGTTAGGCGTCGGCAGGACCCGGCCCCGGCGGCCGCCCGCGGGGGAGCCTTGCGCGGAGCCGGCGGCGCCCCGGGAGCCGCCCCGCGCCCCGACCCTGACCGGGAGAGGCGCCCGCGGCCCCCGGTCCTCGCCCGCGCCGCCCGCCGCGTCTCTGGGCGCCAGACCACGTGCGGCCCCGGCCCCGCGGCGTCCGGGCCCTGGCGGCGGACCTGGCCCGGCCCGCGGCGGGGCTGAGGCGCGGGGACACCCCTGACCCCTGCGGCCACCGCGGCGCAGCAGCTGCCGGGCGCGGCCTCGGGAAGCCCGGACAGCCGGGCTGCGCCCCCACGGCCTGGCCCCCCTGGCCCTGGCCCCCCACGGCCGGCCCCGAGGCTGCTCCCCCGAGGCTGCTCCCCCAGGGCCCTGGCCCCCCACGGCCGGCCCCGAGGCCGCTCCCCCAGGGCCGCCCCCCCAGGGCGCACGGCTGGCCGCCACCCCGCTGTCCCCCACGGGCCTGGCGCCGGGACAAGCGCCTCAGACGCGGTGGCAGAAAACAAGTCGGTGCATCCCGCGCGTCCTGGGGTCAGAGCCGGGAGGCGTCTCCCTGGGGCGCCGTGGGGTGGCCCCGACCGCGGCCCGAGGGGGCCTCCCAGCCCCCGCGCCGTCCAGCCGCCCCGCCCCGGCCCCGCCCCTTCCTGAAGCCCCGACCACCCGAGCGCCAGCTCCGCCCACAGCCGAGGCCCCGCCCCTTAATCTAAACCCCGCCCACCAGGGCCCAGCTCCGCCCACAGCCGAGGCCCCACCCGCACCCCGCCGGCCCCCAGCCTCTGCCCGCGACCCCGCCCCTTACCAGAAGCCACGCCCACCCGGGCCAGCTCCGCCCACAGCCGAGGCCCCACCTCCACCCGCGACCCCGCCCGCCCGCCCCAGAGCCAGGGAGGCGGCGCCGGCCCGGCCCGACGGAGCGGGGCGCCCTGACCTGCGGGGGCCGGCGGCACAGCCCTGGGCGGGCGGGTGACCGCGGACGTGCTCCCGGCCTGCCGTGGACCCGGCGGCCCCGCTCCTGGGCCTCCGCCCGGAGGACGCAGACGCGGCCCGCGTGCGACAGCCGCGCCCCGACGGGCGGCGAGAGGGGGCGGCTGCGCGGGGTCCTCCTCGGCCCGCCCGCCCGCCGGGGCGGTGGTCTGCGCTGGCCGTCGCCCCAGCCCGGCCGCGGGGCCGCCTGAGCAACGGTGCGGCGGGTGGGCGGGCGGGGTCGGACGCGGCCGGCAGGAGGAGACGCGCGTGCCCTTCCCGGGAGGGGCCGGGGACGACGCCCGGTGACACGGGGGAGCAGGGGCGCCAGGGGAGCAGGGGCGCCGGGCGGCCGGCCCGCAGGAGGGGCGCGGAGAGGCGGAGCCTGCTGCTGGCCGCGCCCTGGCCCGCGGCGGGCGGGGGCCGGCACGGGAGGGAGCGCAGGGCTGGGGCTGTCCTGGCCGTGGGGGGGCTCGGGGCCCCGGAGAAAACCGCTCCGCGGAAAGCGGGTGAGTAAAGACGCCGGTGGCCGGCAGCCCAGAGGCGGGAGACGCCCGCCGGGGCCGAGGACGCTGGCCCCGCCCCGCCGCCGCCCTCCTGGAGGACCCACCCGCGCGTCCGGTCTCGGGGTGTTCGTGGGCCAGGCACGACCGGCCGCAGCCCCAGGTGGCTGCTCTGCTGGTGCTGGTCACCCCTCACCGCCCACACGTCTGCGTCCTGCCAGGCGTGGGGAGCCCGCCCGGAACGGGCGCGGGTGGGTCCGTGGGCAAAGGCGGCGCAGGCGGGCTGGGGCGCGGCTGGATCTGGCAGCCGGGCAGATGCCGACGGCTGCGGGAGGGCTGTGAAGGCGGGACGGGGGACCGGAGCCCCAACTGCCTGCCCCGTGGCTGGAGACCCCAGCATGGGAGGGCTCTGGGGGGAACGTGCCCACCTTGGGGCCCACGGGGCGGGGGAGGGCAGGGCCTTCCTGACGGGCAGCGCCTGCTGCTGGCTGACCGCCCGGGCCAAGCCATGTGCCCGTGAGGACCCAGCGGGGGTCTGCCCGCTGTCGGGGCTCCCTCGGGGAGCCACAGATCCTCCGCCCCTGCTCCCTCCAGCGTCTCTGCAAAAAATCTCACAGTGGCCTGAGCCCCGACAGAACCTCAGCTGCTTCCAGGCGTCCGGGATGGCCCCGGCCTGGGCTCAGAGGGGATGCCCTCGGCCTCCGGCTCCCTCTTGCATGCCTGGGGGGCGGCAGGGGGCCTGAGCACACTGTGTGATCCAGTGGGAGGGGCATCCCTCCCCGTCCCCCCTCCCGCGTCCCCTGCGGCTCTGGGGGCAGCCACGCTGCCCGGCAGATACGGCTGCCCTGGAGGCTGTGTCCCGTGGGCCAGGCCGGCGACTCCCCACCTGCGCTGGGCGTAACCAGTGAACCTGAGGCTTCCGGGGACAGCGGCCCCAGAACACCAGGAGCCTATATCTTGGCACCTCCTCCAGGCCCCTGGGTGGCTGGGCCGGCGTCCACGTCTGTCCTCGCTGGGCCAGGCCCCAGGCAGAGTTGGCTCTTCTGGGGTGGGCGGTGGGAGCTGTGCTTGCGCCAGGGAAGTGGCCAGGCGTGTATCCAGCGTTGCCGGCAGGTGACTGCCCGCACATGGACTGGTAGGAGCAGGGGCTGCGGGCAGCGGGTGGCTCCGGGTCTCCCCTAGCCCTGTAGGTGAGGAGAGCTGGCCAGGTGGGGAGACCTTGGGTTGCACAGACCTGGGCCTCCCTCCCGGCCTGTCCTGTGCTGGTTTCCGGCACGGCTGCACACGCAGGGCCTGGCCAGCTGCAGCGTGTCTTCCGGTGTGAGAGCTCAGGATGGCCACTCCAGCCTGAGCCCTGCCCCAGCCCCGTCCCGCCCCCCTGGAGGGCCAGCGCTGCATGGCCAGTGGTGTGGGCAGCCCCATGCTCCTCCCCTGCAGCGGCTGACCCGCGGGTGCCCGTGGACGGCTAGCCCTGGGTGCGCTGACCAGAGAGCTGGGCGGCCTGTGTGGGACCCGCCTTGGCCCGCTGTAGGGACACGGACACTGGCCGTGGTAAGTTGTGTCACAGGGGAGACTAACGATGGACTTGACAGATCTGACGCCACCACAGTCACTCAGCAGCACACGTGTCGTCGCCGTCACTGCTCGGGCAAGAAAAATGATGGATGCGCGGGTCTCTTGTGTAGGTGTCCCGGCCGGGAGGGGCCTCCTGTGTGGGGGTCAGGGCAGGGGAACACGCTGTCCATGGTGCTCGGGCGTCACCCCCCAGAGCGTTGTCTGGGGACTTCTCTAGTCCTCCCCACGGCTGTCCAGGGCCCTTGTGCCGTTGCAGAGCTCTGTCAGGGCGATGGGACGACCTCCCGGGCGCTATCCAGGGTGCTGGGGCGTCCTCACCCCCCCCCCCCATTCAGGGCGCTGAGCCTTCCCTTCAAGGCGCTGTCCTAGGTGCTGAAGCGAATGCCTGGCGCTGTCTGGGGTGCTAGGGCTTCCTCTCGGGACCCTGTCGGGTGCGCTGTCTGGGGGATTTTCCCTCTCCCCCGCTGTTGTCCAGTGCACTTGGGCGTCTTCTGCGGGGCACTGTCTTGGGAGCTGGGGTGGCCTCCACTCATCGTTGTCCCTTCTGCGGGGTGCTCGCTGCGTCCCTGGGTCCTCACCGCCTGTGGGCTGGGCCTGCTATTGAACCCCCTCCTCCGTTTCTCCACCAGGAATTGGAAATCCACAGGGGCCCGGCCCGTGACGCTGGTCATGACAGGTGGACCCCAGAGTTGAGCCCTGCTGCGTCTGAGCTCCTCTCGCCACCCGGACCTGTCTCACTAGGTAGGCACGGGGCGGCCATCCGGAGTGGGCGGGGTGCAGGCCACGTGCACGCTGTGTCCTGGGAGCGGGTGGAGCTTCCCCACCTCTGTGATCTCATGTTCCGCCTGCAGACAAGGGCGATGGTAGCTCTGGGGAGGGTGCCCGGTCGGCCAGCAGTGAGTGCCGCCCAGAAGCTCGCTTCTCTACGCGCTTCTTGTCCGGGGCTGCCCCACTCTTCCTCTCCAGAGCCGTTCCTTGCGCGGCACTGGGGCGTGCGGGGCCTTGGTGGAGGCATGAGGCCAGTGGGTCCTGCCCAGGTGGTACCCTAGGGGTCTGGGGGGGTCACAGTCTAGTGCCGTGAGCAGCGGCGCGTCCTTCAGCAGAGGGGCCTGTGCAGCCTGGACCAGGAGGCTGCCGAGGTGCCAGATAATGGAGGGTCCTGGTGGCTGTTTCTGGGGTCCCCAGGATGGGGGGGTGTGGGGGCCTTGGCAGGAGGCTGCACAGGGTCTCTGCCTCCGTGGCAGGTGTGGCCTTCACGGTCGTCGTGTCGCTGTGGGCGCTGAGGAATGTGGTGGCCCTCGGCCCGTCCCGAGCTGCCTGCACGCGGGTTCCTGAGGCTCATTTGCCCCAGCGGGGAAGAAGCCGCTCCTCGCGGGCACTGCTGGGGTGAGGCTGTGTGCGAGCAGCCGTCAGCCCCGGGTCGCGGTAGGGCACTGCCCACCTGAGTCCTGGTGTCCCGAGTGGAGGCGCCGAGGGCGGGAAAGGTCCCCCGAGACCAGCGGCCACGGGCGGGGCGGGGTGCAGGCCACGGCCCTGGGCAGCCAGGGCAAGGCGGGTCAGCGGGGCCGAGTCCGGGCCTGGGCCCTGCAGCCTTACTCCCGGCCCCTCCCCGCAGGCCCCTCCGCGCGTCCGCTCACGTGCCGGCCCGCCGCGCCCATGCGCGCGCCAGAGGCCAACCAGAGCCGGGCGCGCGGGGACTTCGTGCTGGTGGTCTTCGCGCACGTGCCCGCGCTGCGCCCCCTGCTGGCCGCGCTCTTCCTGCTCGCCTTCGCGCTCACGCTGCTGGGCAACGCGCTCATCGCGCTGCTGACCGCCCGGGACGCCGGCCTGCGCGCGCCCATGTACTTCTTCCTGCGCCAGCTCGCCCTGGTGGAGATCTGCTACTCGCTGGACGTGATGCCGCGGCTGCTGGCCGCGCTGCTGCGCCCCGGGCTGGGCGTGTCCCCCGCGGGCTGTGCGCTGCAGCTGCTGCTGGTGCTGTCCTCCGTGTCCACCGAGTGCTTCTTGCTGGCCGTCATGGCCTGGGACCGCTATGTGGCCATCTGCCGGCCCCTGCGCTACGGCGCCGTCGTCAGCCCGCGCCTCTGCCGCCTGCTGGCCGCCGCGTGCTGGCTGGCGGGGCTGCCTGTGGCGCTGGTCTTTACACTCTGGCTGTTCGGGTTCCCCTTCTGCCGGCCACGCATCCTGCGCCACCTCTTCTGCGACATCAGCCCCCTGCTGAGCCTGGCGTGCGCAGACACTCGCCTCTTTGAGGCCAACATGTTCGCCGCCACCGTGCTGGTCATCATGGTCCCCTTCGGCCTGATCGTGGCCTCCTACGTGGGGGTCCTGGCCGCCGTGCTCCGGATGCCCTCGGCCACCGGCCGCCGCAAAGCCCTGTCCACCTGCGCCTCCCACCTGTTGGTGGTGGTCCTGTTCTTCGGCACCACCGGGGTCATCCACCTGCGCCCCAAGGCCAGCTACTCCCCGGAGAGCAAGCAGACCGTGTCGCTGTCCTACACGGTGGTCACCCCCATGCTCAACCCCCTCATCTACAGCCTGCGCAACAAGGAGGTGAAGGCCGCCTTAGGCCGGCTGTGCTGCCCCGGCCGGCGGGCACCCCCATGAGCCTCGCGGTGGAGTCTGTCCGCCGGCACCTGCGTGTGTCCGGGGGGCGGGGTGGAGGATCCCGAGCTCGCAGGCCACCTGAAGCTCGGGGCTCTTCTGGACGACCGGCCTGGACCTGAATCTCCTTCCTTCTTCCCCGCGGAAGTAGCGCTGGTGTGTGACACGGTGCGGGTTTTGGCTTCAACATGAAAGATGTAGTTTCCGCCCGCCCCATGCAGGGCACCCCTCGTGCGACACAGCCTGCCCCAGGCGCGTGAGGACTCGGCCGGGAGGTGACGATGGGTCGCTGGCCCAGCAGGGCCTCCATGGGGGGAGGACAGAGCCCGCCCCGCGGTCCAGAGGCCTGGCCTGCAGGAGCGCGGCCAGCAGCCCGCAGTGCCCGCTCGCCTAAGGGCCGCCGTCGTCCTGGGGCCTGCGATGACCCAGGCCGGTCAGTCCTGCTGCCCATGGGCTAGAGATGGGGCCGTGTGGCTCTCAGCTAGGACCACACATCTGGGTTGGGTGGGGGGGGGTCCCAGGAGTGCCGCGGACCAGCCTCCGGCAAAATGTCGTGTCAGGGGTTCCTGAAAGGATGAGACGGCCTCGGCGACCTGTGAGGGGCTGAAACTTAAGGGCTGAGGGGAAGGGGATGAGGTAGCGAGGAGACGCTGACACCGGATGGGGTGCAGGTATCTTCTGCTGAAAGACTCAGCAGGGTCTTTCTTTATACACTTGTAGCAGGCCGTGAGCGGACGTGATCACGTGCAGGGACACAAAGCAGAAACGATCAGTGCGTCCCTTTTCACGTAGACTTTTGGCCACTACGTGCTCTCAGTAAGGCAGGAGGACCACCCCCCGCGACCCCCTTCCCTCGGTTGGAAGCTGGACCGCGGCCTCCCTTTGGCGCCCACACCCCACCCAGGCCAGCGTTCTCCAGAGTCTGGATACTGAGGAGCCGGGCCGTGGCCAGCTCTCCCTGGGGAGACCCGGCTCCCTGGCACTGGGCTGCCGGCCCGACCCAGGCACAGGGGGTGTCGCCCCAGCTTCCTGCCCGGCTCCCCATCCGGCACCAGCTTCTCTCTCCAGCACCTCAGCCTTGAAAACAAGAGCACCCGGCCTCAGTTTCCCTGCCGACACGGCAGTCCTGCTCATTCGGGACCCAGCGGTCACTGGGCTGCTGTCCGGGAAATGTTGTTTAAATAAAGCTGCTTTGTCAGCACCATCACCGCTGCGGCCTGAGCTCGACCTCCAGCCAGGGAGCTGACCCACAGGGTGCAGCAGACCCCTCCTGTCTCCCCAGCAGTGGATTTCAGTTGATCTGCCTGTTCTGCTCCCCGCTGTCTCTGGTGAATCCTCTCACCCCTGCACCTTTGGCCTGCACCCCAGCTCTTGTATGCATAAATAAATAATTTTTTTTAAAAAAGTTGCCCTTTTGCCCACTGCCCCAGGTCCTCCCTGCAGGAGTCGGGACCCCAGGGCCCCCCGACCGGCAGAGGCACGTCCCAGCCTGTGGAGAGCGGGAGACCGCCCCTCCCCCCAAGGCTCTTCTGTCCATCTGGCCCGCGCCCAGTTGGGTCAGGAGGAGCGTCTAGGTCCCGGCCCCTCGCCAGGAGGCTGAGCCGGCTGAGCCCATGGGCCCTGGTCCAGGCGCGGGCACGCTCTGGGCTCCACGGGACAGCTGAGAGACTCACGCGTGGGCGTTTGGAGCAGCCGTGGGCTCAGGACATGGAACCTCGTAAAGACCCGCCGGGCTGTGAGGTCCCAAGCTCGAGACGCGCTAGTGCGCTCTGAGGGTCTCCCCGTGTCGGCCCCAGGCCGGACCCCCACACTGGACCCCACGCTGGACCCCCAGGCTGGGCCAGCGACCCCGTCTGCCGCAGCGCCCCCATGAGCGGTGCGGGGCTGAGAACACTCCGTGGGGGCGTCTGGCTGGCGGCGCGGGGCCTCCCGCCGTGGCTGCCATGGGTGCCTGTGTCCTGTGGGGCAGCGCGCCCTGTCCTGTTGCAGGCCTGGGCGCTGCCCACCTCCTGGTGGACCAGGCAGGGGCGGAGCAGGAAGCCCTGAGGGCTCACCTCCTGCGGCTGTGGGGGCGTCCTGGGGGCCAAAGGGGGGCGGGCGGGCGTGGACTTCACAGCCGCTGCTCACGCCTCTCTGCCGCCCGGGCCCTCCCTCCATGGACGCCCCCACGGTCGCCGCGGGGCCGGCTCACGGGGTGGTTTCCCGAGGCCTGTGCACTTGCATTGTTCAGCCGCGGCGTTGAAGTACAGACGTGTGGCTCGAGGCCTCGTGCAGCGTCTTGTTTTCTCCCGTCGTGGTCGTGGTCACGCCTGCGCGGTGTCTGATGGCCCCTTGGGTGTGCCCAGGAATGCTCCCCCACCCCGACCGCGACCGCCCCATTCCCGCAGGACGCCCCATCTGGGGTCAGCTCAGGCGTCTCCGTCCTGACCCTGCACTGGGTTCCCTGCACCCCGCCAGGAGGGGCAGCGTCCGGGCTTGTTTCTCTGCTCTGACTTGGGGTGTGCCCCCGCGGCTCCGCCCCCGTGGCTGCAAATGGCGGGGGTCTGACTTTTTGAGGGCTGTGTAGTACTCCGCCGCCCAGGGTGGTTTGTACTCATGTTCCTGGAGACCCGCTGGGGCTGGTGCATTTGTGGGACCCTGGCGACCTTTCACCCAGGGGGCGAGTTCTTCGTCTCCTCCCTGTCCTGTCCGGCACGCGTCTGTGGACCTTCCCTGCCGGTCCGCCTCTGGGCAGTGCCGCGTGGGGACAGACCTGGGGGGTCTCGGGGCTCTGGGCAAGTTTCTGGCAGTTGGTTTTGCACCCTCGGGAGGTGTCTGGGCCCTGGCCATGAGTGCATCTGCCCCCACGGCTGTCAGTCGGCTTCCTTGTGTGCACGGTGTGTGCGTGTGTGCGCGTGTGTGCATGTGCAGGGGCGTGCAGGGGTGTGTACTCGTGTATGTGTATGCGTGTGTGTGTGCGTGCGAGTGTGAAGCTGCGTACAGAAGCTTCTGCGTGCGGTGATGGCGGCTTCTACACCACTCCTCTCTGTCTGCCTGGAGTGACAGTCGAATTGACTGAACTTGCTGGCACCTGAGTGGGGGGATTCGGGAATACACTGAGTGTTCTTACGTTGTTGCTCTCAGAAGTGGGGGGTAGAGTCCTGCTGGGGGGTGCTGGGGGCTGTGGGGTCCCCAGGGGTCTGGTCCACGGCTCACACACATGCTGGCCGGTGCCCTGCGGCCGTCTGCTCCTGGACATCTGTGCTGACGTGGTCTCGTGGGGAGGAGGACGGACTTGGCTGAGGTGCCCCCGCCCGCGGGGTGCCAGATGGGGCTGTTCCGGGAATGCCTGTGGAGCAGGGCCGGGAAGGGGTGTCTTCATCCCCACGTGGCGGGGGGTCTGTGTCGGCCTCGTCCCCAGCAGCGGGGCCCTCGGGGGCCAGGCCCAGGCGCCCCCGCCCACCCCGGAGCTCATAGGGCCGGGAGCGGGGACAGGCAGGGGAGTCTGTCCCTGGGGGCAGCAGTGGCTAGATGGGCTGCAGCGGCCCCAGCGCTTGGCCCAGAGGATGCAGCGCTGCCCGGTCCAGTGCCAGTGCCCGACCCCGCCTCTAGGCCCAGGGGACAGCAGCCCGCCTGGTGCCGGCTTAAAGGGATGGCTGGTGCCGTTGCTGGGCAGCGTGGACCGGGGCGGAGCACGGCAGAGTCCTGCGGGGGCAGCCGGGAGAGGACCTGGGTGGGGAGGAAGGTGAAGGAGCCCCCGCCTCACTCGGCCCCAGGCCGCCAGCCGGCCAGCACGGAGGCGCCCCACCCCGCCAGACACGGAGGACGGGTCTGGACCCTGTGCGGCCAGAACCGGAGGCGACTCGGCCAGGGCGCCAGAGGTCAGTGTCGGCTTGACAGCCGTCCGTGTGTAGGGGGCGAGTGGGGGGTGAGTGTGTGTGGGGTGAATGTAGGGTGAGTGTGTGGGATGTGTGTGTGGGTGAGTGTGTGTGGGTGTGTGTGGGGGAGTGTGGGGGAGTGTGTGAGGTGAGTGTGTGGGGGTAGTGTGAGGTGTGTGTGGGTGAGTGCATAAGGGTGAGCGTGTGGGGTGAGCGTGTGGGGTGAGCGTGTGGGTGAGTGTGTGGGGGTGTGAGGTGAATGTGTGGGGTTGAGTGCATAAGGGTGAGCGTGTGGGGTGAGCATGTGGGGTGAGTGCATGGGGTGAGCATGTGGGGGTGAGTGTGTGAGGTGAGTGTGTGGGTGAACGTGTGGGGTGAGCGTGTGTGGGTGAGTGTGTATGGGTGAGTGTGTGGGTGGTGAGTGTGTGGGGTGAGCGTGTGGGGAGTGTGTGGGGGGGGGGTGGGTGAGCAGGCGATGCTCAGGGGCCTCACTGCTGAGCGGGACTTCGGGCTGCAGCTGGGTGCCCGGACACATGCTGGGGAGCCCCCAGGACTCGGGCAGCGCGGGCCTCTCCTCCCTGACTGGCTGCGGGGCTGCGGCTCCCGGCCCCGCGGGGTCTGTCTCCGCCTGAGCCGGCGCCTGGCGGGGAGCCCTGTCCTGAGCTGGGGTCAGGCGAACCGGGCAGGTTCCCGCTGGACGGGGGAGGAGGCGCAGGCCGGGGCCCGGTGCTGCTGCAGAGGCCGAGGCTGCCGCCGCCTTCCCCTCTCGCCGGGCGGGCGGCCCCTGGGTGGGGCGTTGTGTGGCCCTGACTGGGCACGAGACCCGGGGGGAAGATGCCTGGGGGAGCCCTTGGACACCGGTGGCTGAGAACAGATTCCGTGTTCATCCCCCTCAAACTGACGGGTCCCCCAGATGAGGCCCTAAGCAGACCTTGTGTTTTCTGGGCACAGTCTGGCCGGCGCCCAGTGGGCTGCAGATGTTGGGGTTCCCTGGCCAGGACGCCCTGAGAGCGCAGGCCCTGGGACAGGCCCTGTGGGGCCAGGGGCTCCCCGCCCCCCTGGTTCCAGCATGTGGCTTTGAAGCGGGGCTGCAGAGCTGCCCTGGGGGCGGCGTCTTCATGGCAGAAACTTTTAAATTCCCTCCCTCTGCCCTGTTTTCGGTCACACCTTTCCTGTGGCGTTCTCTGTGGTTTCAGAAGCGTCTCCCTCACCTTCGTGCGTTCCCGAGGCCTGGGACGGACTCTCTTGGGGGGGTGCTGGCGGGGGCCCCCACAGTGCGTGGGGGCTTCCAGGGCCTCACCCGGCCTCTTGGCCCGTTTCTGTCCAAGGTTCACTCGGGGCCTTAACACAGAGGAGGCCCCCACGCCTAGGGGCTGCGGGGCGGGGAGGAAGCAGCCTCTGCTCCCCGTCCCTCCTGCCGCCTTCGCCATGGCCTTATGCCCCCCACGGCTGTGCTTGTGAGCCCCCCGCACCCCCAACGGCTGCTGCTCAGCCCCTGCGTGGGGCTGGGCACGGCCTTGTGTGGGCTGCGCTCTGGGTCTGACAAGTAGTGGACACAGGGAGACGAGGGCGCAGCTCGGGCACAGCCCTGCTTGAGCCTCTGTCAAGGGCCTCCCTGGTGGCGCGGGTGGTTGAGCTCAGCACTGTGAAGCTGCCCGCGGCCTCGGCAGCGCCGGTTCCACCCGGCCGGCCGGCGAGGGTCCCACATGGCGCGCAGACCCCTCCTGTCTCCCCGCTGCTCCCCTCAGCAGTGGATTTCAGTGGATCTGCCTGTTCTGCTCCCCGCTGTCTCTGGTGAATCCTCTCACCCCTGCACCTCTGGCCTGCACCCCGGCTTTTGTAGTATAAATAAGTAAAGTAAGTCTTTTAAAAAAATAAAAACCACCCACGAGAGTGGCACCTCCCCCCCGGAGGGGTCTGTAGCAGCCTCGGAGAGGGGCTCAGTGGCTTTGCAGCAGCTGATTCCCCCCAGACAGGCCGACCTCGCCCTGGGCATCATCTTAGAGAGAAAGAGCTGACCCAGGCTTGGGTCTGGGGGCACAGGGCTCCCCCGTGGCTCCCACCTCCGCCGGCAGGAGGGCCTGAGCCGTGTCTCCCTCACTCAGATGCTCGGGGCGCTGGAGCCGGCCAACGTGTCCGGAGTCCAGGACTTCCTCCTGCTGGGCCTGTCCGCCGGGCAGGGCCCGCGGCGGGCGCTGCTGGTCCTGTTCCTGGCCCTCTACCTGCTGGCCCTGCTGGAGAACACGCTGGTTGTGCACCTGGTCCGCAGCCGCCGCGCCCTGCGCCGGCCCATGTACTTCTTCCTGGGCCACCTCAGCTGCCTGGAGCTGTGCTACGTGTCGGTGACCATGCCCAGCCTGCTCGCGGGGCTAGGGGCCGGGCCGCTGCCCGTGCCCTTCCCGGCCTGCATGGCCCAGCTCTTCTGCTTTGTCTCCCTCATCGGGACCAAGTGCACGCTCCTGGCCTCCATGGCCTACGACCGCTACGTGGCCATCTGCCGGCCCCTGCACTACCCGCTGCTCATGCGGCCCCGGGTCTGCCTGGCCCTGGCGCTGGCCTCCTGGCTGGGCGGGCTGCTGGTGTCGGTGGTCAAGACGGCCTGCATCGCCAGCCTGTCCTACTGCGGCCCCAACGTCCTCAACCACTTCTTCTGTGACGTCTCCCCCCTGCTCGGCCTGTCCTGCTCGCACACGGCGCTGGCGGAGCTGGTGGACTTCCTCTCGGCAGTGCTCATCTTCTGCGGCTCCGTCCTGGTGGCCCTGGCCTCCTACGCGGCCATAGGCCGGGCTGTGCTGCGCATGCCTTCGGCCGCCGCCCGCCGCAAGGCCCTGTCCACCTGCGCCTCCCACCTGGCGGTCATGGGCCTCTTCTATAGCCTGGTCCTCTTCACGTACTCGCGCCCCGGCCGCCTGGAGCCCAGCGACCTGCACAAGGCGCTGTCCGTGCTCTACACGGTGGCCACGCCCGTGTGCAGCCCGGTCATCTACTGCCTCCGCAACCGGGAGGTGCAGGCCGCCCTGCGCGGGGCACCCCGGCCATGCTGACCCCGCCGCCCGCAGGCCACCCTGCCGTGCTGACCCTGCCGCCTGCATCTCGGGAAGGGGAAGAGGAGGCCGGTCGGGAGGCCAGGGTGCAATCACCCGCCGACGTCCAGCAGATCCGCTCGGGCCTGCCTTGGCCTGTGCTGCCAAGAAGCAGCCGCGTCCCCAGACACGCCGGCAAGAACGTGGTCTCAGAGCCGTGGCCCATGTAAGAGACATTTGCTGCGCGCGCTGCTGGAAGTGACAGGCGCCCTCCCAGGGGACCGCTGAGTGGACCCTGCTGCATCCAGGCGTCTGGGCGCGTCTGGTGAAGGGGCCGCCAGGTACGGACCTGACCTGTGGGGCGCCAGCAACTGGGGCGGCGGTGAGGCCCCCGTCGCGCTGACCACAGCCAGGCGTCCAGCCTGAGCCCACACGGGCTCTGGACTCGCTCCGGACCTGAAGATGCTGTCCCCGGGGAAGCGGGCGCGGCGTGAGGGGCGGGGAGTGGCCGCCCCGCTGGCGCCTTCTCGGTGTCTTCCGGCGGTGACGGTCCAGGCTGACAAGGCTGCGGGCCCGGCCGTTGCCGCGAGCACAACCAGAGCCTTTGAGAACGGCGAGGCGGCAGCTCAGCAGCCTCGGGCGCCTGGACCCCCTCGTCCCACTCTGGGGGGCCATCGGCGGTTTGGGCAAAAATAGAGCTCAGGAGTGGCCAGACAGAGCCCCTTGCGAAGCTGCCGCCAGAGCAGCCGGTCACCGCGGTGGTTCTGCCGGCCGGAGTGGGCAGTGGCCTTCGGCCCCCCAGCCTGGGGCTGTTCCCCGCGGGTTTGGGTTCACGCCCGCGACACGGCCAGTCACTCTGCCCTCAGGCCTCGGGCACAGCCCGAATCCCGGCTCCGGCGTGGGCAGGTGGGGTCTGGCCCATGGGACTGAGAGCCAGCGTGTCCCCCCCGCCCCCCGCGCCCCGGTGGCCGTGGGGCGGGTCCCAGGACGCTGTGGCCCGGGGGGTGCCTCTGGCACCAACCACCCTCCCACAAGACACGGGCGTGTCCGGCCCGTCACTCTGGGCGGGGGCCGCGGGGCTCAGGGCTGCTGCTGGGGTGCTGGGCTCTCAGCTGCCTCCCAGCCGGCCGGCGTCCCCGTGCCAGGGGTGGGCGTGGAGCCCAGGCGGGCAGCGGGGCAGCCTGGCAGGGCGGGGGGACACGAGGCCTCTGTCCAGGCGAGCACGCCCGACTAGTGTTCCCCCCATGCCGTTCCCACGGCCGCCAGCTGTGGTCCTGGGTCGGGACAGCTGGATTCTGCTCAGTGGAGCAGAACGGAGGCGTCTGCCCGCTGGCTGCGTCCAGCTCCTGCTCTGTGGCCACGTGGGGACGCTCCCGGCCGAGGCCTGGGGTTCTGCTTGCGGCAGGAGGAAGAGGCGGCCTGTGGCAGGGCCTCCTGGTGCTTGTAGGGCATCGCCTGGGGGGTGCCCTGGGGGGGTGGGCTCAGGCGGGGCTCGGGCTGAGCTGGGGAGCAGTGGGCCCGTCACAGCCGCGGTCGGCAGAAGCAGGAGCTCATACAGCGTCCCCTTGCCTCAGCGACCTCATCCAGCCAGACTCCCCGAGTGCCCGGATGTGCCACGTGTTGTTCTGAACATCGACCCTGGGTCAGACCCGGGGCCGGCTCTGTGCCGTCTGGCTGCCTGCGGTCGCGCTCCGCGTGCGCGGGAGGCCGCGGGAGGCTGGGAGGAGAGTCAGCCGAGCAGCGTGTGATCATGTGAGCTCATCCTGGAAAGCTGACCAGGACTGAGGGATACGGGGTGGGGTGGGCTGCGGGCATCTGGTGGTCAGCCGTGTGGTGCCCACACCTGGGAACTCGGGGCTCCAGCACCCCAGCAAGGACATGAGCCAACGTCACCTCAGTTGAAAGGTAAAAGAACAGTCTTCCTAGGGCTTATTTAACGACCAGCTTCTTGACGCTCAGAGGGGGAGCCGGCTCTGGGGACGCCGCGTCCACCTGGCCGGAAGGACTCGGACTCGTGATGCACTAACCCTGAAACCCGCATCTTAGCCCCAGACAAGACGACTGGTCACAGGAAAGCTGAAAAGCTGACGGGTGCACGGGAGCCAGGGGGCCGCGCTGCAAGACCCACCAGCCGGGCCAGGAGCCCCACGTGCCTGGACAGCAGGCGTTTCGGCGGTCACAGTGCGAGGCCCTGGCTGCTCCTTCACCCCGCAGGAGCTGACAGAAGCGGCGTCTCCATGGGCCTGACGGTCCTGCTGAGTGGCCATGTGGCCGTTTGTGCCCATATGAGCCTCCCTGATGCAGACCAGGCCTCGGATGTGACCCCAGTGGGGGCCGCCCCAGGCGTCCAGGGCTGGGCCACTCACGGTGGGGTGGAGTCCCCACAAAGGTGCCATCGCCCAGCGGCAGGGGCTCAGGTGTCCCCTCGCCGGGGGCAGGGTTGGGTCCCCATGGAGAGCACACGCGTCTCGCAGGGTTCTGGCACGTCCCCGCTGCTTCCTCGGCCGGAGTGCCTGACGTGGCGTGTGGCCGCTGTGGGTGCTGAGGCGCTGGCACGTTGCTCTCCGCACACCACGCATGGCAGGGACTGACTGTGCTGGTTACTGAAACTGGCACCAAAAAAAGTTGTCCCTGTCCTGGATTTGGGGTGGGGAGGTGTCCTCAAAACAGTGACAGGCCAAGCCACCTGAACATACGTTCACACCCAGTGTTTTGTTTTTAAGTCATTTTAATTAAAATATGTAAGATTTTACTCTAACGTGTTACATTGTCATTTACAAATGCTTCAGGCCTCCCTGGGGTGATTCTCCTGGGAACGAAATGTCTGCAGACTTCGAGATAATGGGGCCTCCCCGGTGGCGCAGGGGTTAAGCGTCAAAACTATGAAGCTATCGGTAGCCACTGCGGCCTGAGTTCGATCTCCAGCCAGGGAGCTGACCCACGGGGCGCAGCAGACCCCTCCTGTGTCCCCGCTGCTCCCCTCAGCAGTGAGCTGCAGTGGATCTGCCTGTTCTGCTCCCCACTCTGTCTCTGGGGAGTCCTCTCACCCCCGCGCCTCTGGCCTGCACCCGGCTCTTGTACGCGCACATAAATAAACCTTTTTAAAAACAATAACAAAGCACCGGTAACTCGCGGTCCGGTGCCCAGGCCGCCGGCCAGCCTCAGGGCCAGCGCAGGGTCTTGCGGAAAGCCGCCTGGACCTCCTTGTTGCGCAGGCAGTAGATGATGGGGTTGAACATGGGCGTGACCACGGTGTAGGTGACGGCGAGCATCTTGTTGAGGTCCATGGCTTTCATGCGGCTGGGGCGGGCGTAGATGAAGATGGTGGCCGAGTAGAAGATGCCCACGACCGCCAGGTGGGAGGCGCAGGTGGAGAAGGCCTTGTGGCGGGCAGCGGCCGAGGGCATGCGCAGCACGGCTCTGCCGATGGCCACGTAGGAGGCCAGGGCCACGAGGAGGGAGCCCCAGAGGATGACGATGGCCGAGACGAAGTCCACCAGCTCCGTCAGCTCCACATGCGAGCAGGACAGGCCCAGCAGGGGAGACACATCACAGAAGAAGTGGTTGAGGACGTTGGGGCCGCAGTAGGACAGGCTGGCGATGCAGGCCGTCTTGATGATGGACACCAGCAGCCCGCCCAGCCAGGAGGCCAGCGCCAGGGCCAGGCAGACCCGGGGCCGCATGAGCAGCGGGTAGTGCAGGGGCCGGCAGATGGCCACGTAGCGGTCGTAGGCCATGGAGTTCAGGAGGATGCACTCCGTGCCAACCAGGGTGATGAAGAAGAAGAGCTGGGTCATGCAGGCCGGGAAAGGCACGTGGTAGGGCCCGGCCCACAGCCCCGCGAGCAGGGTGGGCATGGTCACCGACACGTAGCACATCTCCAGGCAGCTGAGGTTGCCCAGGAAGAAGTACATGGGCTTCCGGAGCTCGCTGTGGCTGCGGATGAGGTGCACGATGAGCGTGTTCTCCAGCAGGGTCAGCAGGTAGAGCGAGAGGAAGAGCAGGAACAGCGCCTGCCTCACGCCCAGTCTGGTGGACAAGCCCAGCAGGATGAACTCCTGGACCCTGGTCACGTTGGCCGCCCCCGGCACCCGCGCCATCTGCGGACAGACACGGAGGACTTTGCAGGTCTCTCCACCTGGCCCCAGCTTCATCCCAGCCACGGCCTCCCCTGAGCCGTGAAAGAACCTCTCTCTGCTCCCCGCTTCGTTCATGCGCAGGGACACCCCCATGTACAGTTCGTGGGGCTCTCAGAACCGTACATGCACACTCTGCTGGTCCCTCTCCTGCCCGATCACCAGGCTGTTCCCTCCTGCCTGGACCACCTCTGCTGTTCCCTCTCCTGCCTGGACCACCTCTGCTGTTCCCTCTCCTGCCTGGACCACCCTCTGCTGTTCCCTCTCCTGCCTGGACCACCCTCTGCTGTTCCCTCCTGCCTGGACCACCCTCTGCTGTTCCCTCTCCTGCCTGGACCACCCTCTGCTGTTCCCTCTCCTGCCTGGACCACCTCTGCTGTTCCCTCTCCAGCCTGGACCACGCTCTGCTGTTCCCTCCTGCCTGGAACACCCTCTGCTGTTCCCCCTCCTGCCTGGACCACCCTCTGCTGTTCCCTCTCCTGCCTGGACCACCTCTGCTGTTCCCTCTCCTGCCTGGACCACCTCTGCTGTTCCCTCTCCTGCCAGGACCACCCTCTGCTGTTCCCTGCTGCCTGGACCACCCTCTGCTGTTCCCTCTCCTACCTGGACCACCCTCTGCTGTTCCCTCTCCTGCCTGGACCACCTCTGCTGTTCCCTCTCCTGCCTGGACCACCTCTGCTGTTCCCTCTCCTGCCTGGACCACCCTCTGCTGTTCCCTCTCCTGCCTGGACCACCTCTGCTGTTCCCTCTCCTGCCTGGACCACCCTCTGCTGTTCCCTCTCCTACCTGGACCACCCTCTGCTGTTCCCTCTCCTGCCTGGACCACCTCTGCTGTTCCCTCTCCTGCCTCGACCACCCTCTGCTGTTCCCTCTCCTGCCTGGACC